CTATGATTTTAAAATGTTAAACTAAGAGAGATGAATGGCTATGCCGTATTATGCCTCACATCAAACTGGAGTTTTATGCAAATATATATAATCTATCTATCTATCTATCTATCTATCTGTATATAAAGTACATTCATATTTAACATCAAGTACACATATATAGTACACTTATATTTAACATCAAGTTTATACACACACACACACACACACACACACACATATATATATATATATATATAGATTTAACATTAAGAAGAGACAGTTGAAATTACTAGGTACATCATGAGAAAAGAGGGGATCGGATTTTGGGGGTTGGTTGATTTTGTTTAACAGCATATCAACCTCTATATGTTATTTAATGCCGAAATCTAAATATTTTGAACGCACTTTTATGGCTTCAACTAAAGATATAGTATAAAGAGGAACTGTAGGTTGGCTGATCTTGTTTAATAGCATATCAACCTTTATGGGTTATTTAATGTTGAAAATATTTGGAACAGAAATTTATGGCTTCAACTATAGATAAAATGTATTGTTGGTCATTTTTACTATAGAATCTATTGTTGTTAATTCCGCTTTAAAAATATATTTTGGGCAATTTTACTATAAATATGTATCATTGTAACTCTGTGAATATAAAAATGTATTGTTGGTATTTTGATATTTTCATAGTGTTTTGTTTTTGTTTTTTTTTTTGTTTTTTTTAGTGTTCACTATTTTTCCATAGATGGGACCGTAACAGGTGCTACCAGCCCGGGTCTGGGTGGACCTGGGAACAACAGAAATTAAGAGATGGTTCCACGCTCCTCAAAACCTCTAATCTACCGATCAGAGGCTTTGCTGCCCGATGTAGTTTATCGTCATACCGAGGACTGAGTGGCGATTGGAGAATTTAACATTCATATGACATACTGAGTTTGTGTAAATGGCAGAAAAGTGACGGGAGGGATGTTGAAACGACAAATGTCACTAAGAGCTACAAAGGATAGGAAATTATGGACAGCCATGGTCTCCCACGTCCTGAATGGATTTTCTGTCATTTTTGCTTTCGTCTTTAATTTTTTATTGTGTTTTGATTATATACTTACACTATGGTAGGGTGTGCGGGTGGTGTAATGGATAGCAGTACGAAATGAGCCGAGTTCGAATCGAATTCCAGTTGGGTTCATTACATTGAACCTACACCCAATTACCCTTGGAAAAGGTATGAATCTATCTCTTCTCCCCCAGTTATGGATTAAATAGTAGGACTTGTATCTGAAAAAATCGTTGTTATTCTCAAAACAATTGTTAATGCAATATTAACTTAAAAAAGAATTCTTACAATCCAAAATATATATATATTTCAGCTTTAGATAACCGACAAAAAGCTTGATAACCCATAAAAAAACAAATCAAATCCAGTATGGCGTTTAATATCTAGTGTCCTACCAAAATCTACCCTGACTATATATTAGGTTGTCACGCATGAAATGACGCATTTTATAGGAAATGAATAAAACGCTTCTGAAAAGTTAAATAACTAATTTTAGTTGAAATAGGCACCATGTTGATGAATGACGTTCTCCAGTGTATGTCTAAATTCTTGATCCCTTCTTCAAAAAAATCTCATCTTTTGATGTGATAGTGCTTCGATTACTTCTTCCTTATTGAAGAATGTTTCATTGTGTTTGAAAAGCTCAAAAGGCTTAAATAAGTGATAATCAATAGGAGAGATATCAGGTGAATATAGAGGATGAAGCAAAATTTCAGAATTCAGGTTATGCAGTTTTTAAACAGTTGATTGAGAAGCGTACTGCCGTACCTTGACGTGCAGCAAAATTGAACCATCTCTATTTACAAGTCTTGGATGTTTCTTTTTCATTTTGGGGGGTATACTCGATTTCCCCACAATTGCTGTTATTGTTTTCCCTTGAGGCAAGAATGAATACTCTTTGACAAACAGGAAGAGAGTAGACCAGTGGTAAGATACAAGTGAATCACCAAAACAATACCCAAAACCTCCACAGCACCCTAAAAAGTTAATGTTTACTGTATGGTGGTCTTTCAAAGGGGTTATACAGTATTCATTTCTTGTCGCATGTAATGATTCCATGTAAAAATGGTTCTTTTCCCAGTTTGTACTCATACAGTAAGATTATTCGACTGGTTCATTGTAATCATATTCATTGGGTTTATGAGTAACAATGTATTCAAAGAAAAATTATGTGCAAAGAAAAAGAGTTAGAAAAAAGTCAAGCTTTTTTTATATACTAAAGAGATTACTTTGTTAGACGACCGGATCAACAACCAATTAAAAAAATGCGTCATTTCGTGTGTGACAACCTAATATAAATTACTTGAATAGTTTGAACATTCTAAGAGTTTAGGTCTTTAAATTAATCTTAATAATACATAACATTATTATACAAATCCATATTTGCACCAAATTAGCATTAAAGCCAGCTTACCCTGAAGATCCGTTTAGGTGAAACCTTGGTAGTAGGTTTACCAAACACTTTAGGATTTATTTTATATATATATATATATATATATATATATATATATATATATATATATATATATATATATATATATACCGGTGTAGCAGCAAAATTGTACAAATCGTGTAACAGCATGGGATAATTGTCCATCCTACAAAATGTTTAATATTTAAAAAAAAACAAAAAAAAAAAAACAAACAAACAAAAAACCACTAAACTAAATGAGTTTCTTTTCCCCAGGTTTTCAGATAAGCCATTTAGCCATCTTGACACCATTTGTTGTAAGAATCACTGAAAAACCCTTTGAGTTACTCAGCTAGAAAAAGAACAGGTTAAAATTGTTTTGTGTCAGCCCCACAATGTCTTCTCAACTGAGAAAAAAGATCATTCAGGCCTTCAGTAATGCTGCCAACATTCATACTCTGGCTTCCAACTTCAAAATCCATTGAAGAACCATCAAGAGAACGGTAAATAAGTTTAAATAAACAGGGAACAGGAGAGAGGAAGACTGGATCAGGACGTCACAACAGGAAGAGGGATCATCATTTCAACTGTGAGCTAAAGAGATCAATTAGAAAAGATCCAACTCAATCCATAAGACGTTTGGCATGTGAGAGAGGAGTTTCAGCTATGACAGTCCAAAGAGCAGTAAAAATGATTTGAAAATGAAATCCTACGTGAAACCTGTGAGGCAGCTTGTTACGCCAGGACAGAAAGTGAGAAGGTTAGACATCGCGAAGATCATCTTGAATAAGTTGGAAAATGATCATGGAATAATATCTATATATTTGAACTTTATTTCAATCTTTCGTGAGCTTCCGATCCTTACCTATGATTAATTAATGAGTTCAATTGTGTTATAAAAACCTCGGTGAATTTCAGTAAAATATCTTTAATCATTTCTAAGATACAACGGTTAAAAGCTTAATCTAACAATTGTACAATTTTGCTGTTACACGATTTGGACGGTATATATATGAAATATTGTATTTACTAGAGTTGGATACACAGTTTTATGCCTTGTATAATATTAAAAAATATCCTCAAGACGACAACAGAATATACGCGCAGCATAGCAATTATCGACGCGGAAAGTGGAATCAGTGGAGTCGAGTTCAAATTCAGTCAGTGTTTTTTGCGCTCACTTTCGCACAAATACTCTAGGAACGACATGCATCCATCTCTTGTTCCCCAACGATGGGTTAAATCGAAACGCTCCCTGGCCTTGATTTGCAACTCTAAGAGAAGGAAAATCTCTGAATTCGAAACCGGTTGGGCCCGGGGCTGGCAACTCCGCCCTGTAAAACCTTACTTGCTGCAGAAACCACGGCAGCCACATCTAGCGTTCTGAGATCTGTGGTCTTATACTCTGAACGGGATTCTACAAGATTAACATATAACACGGGTTAAATAGAAGGGTAGACTATGCTCTCTAGCCTTAGTTGTCAAGAAGTCTCGAAGAGAGATATCTCTAAATTAAAGTGTGAGTTTGTGGTTCCGGCAGTATGGATTAAATAGCAAAGCAGACTGAGCCCTCTAGCCTTAGCTGGCAGCCAGTCTAAGAAAAAGACAACTCTGATTTCCAAACTGTTCGTAGACATGGCAATATGGGTTAATAGCAAGGTAGACTGGGGCCGCTAATCTTGGTTGGCAACCAGTCTAGAAGAAGGAAAACTCTGAATTCAAAACCGACTTGTCGCGGGGATGGCAACTTCAACCCGTAAAGATCTTGCTACAGGTACCACTGTAGTAACACCTATCGTAGTGAAGGTTGCGTGCTCCAAAGGGGAGTCATATATATATATATATATATATATATATATATATATATATATATATATATATATATATATATATACAACACGTCCGTTTAATAGCAAGGCAAATTGCCTAAGCATTCTTGAAGACAGGCAGATTTGATTTCAAAAAATGACCGTACGTGAGTCTGGCAGCTTCACTCTGTAAAACCATACCAGCGACACCGAGCGGAGTCTGGCTCTATCCTCCCGGGGGACTGTCGTCTAATAGTAAGTCGTACTAAGCAGGTGGAAGTCATGAAATTGATATCGTGGAAATATCTCTCGTTCTGCTTCACAGCGATTATAATAACGTTGAATGAGAAGAAACCAATGAGATATTTTACTCGTGTTAATTTTTTTCTGACTTCTTTTCATTGCGAGTATAAAGAAATGTGTCCAGAACGGAACAAAAGAAGAAGAAAAAAAACCCAAAAAAAAAACAGTTGGCATTTCCCAAGGCATTTAGACAGAACGCACGAAGGCAGAGCAACTAAATGAGTAGAATAAATACCTCTTGATATGATTCACCTTGATTGGGATTGGAACTCTTTGAGAAATTTCTGGTCACGCGGTTGAAGGATATTCATACCAACAAGTTAATTAGATTTGTGAACAGGTGAAAAAAAAAGGGGGGCGGTGTATCAGTTTTCCGAATGTTTTTTTTCTGTCGCCTGTGTCCTCTTATTTTCACAAATTTACGAAAAATCAAACCACTGAGTCAGAGAGAGAGAGAGAGAGAGAGAGAGAGAGAGAGAGAGAGGGAGAGAGAGATTACAGTGATGATAAGACTAGAGATTAAAAGAGAAATAAGAGAGAGATAAAAAAATGTAGAATGGATAAGAAAGAGAGAGCTATAAGGGGGAGAGAAGGAACGGGGAAGTGAAATAAAAAGAAAGTCAAAAAGAAAGAGAAAGAAAAAGAAAGAGAGAAAGAAAGAGAGTGAGAGAAAGAGAAAGGGAAGAGAGATAAAAATAGATGCAGAATGAGAAAGATAGAGAAACCTAAAATAGAGATATAGAGGAAAGAAAGAAGCGAGAAAAAGAGAGAGATAGAAAGAGATAGAAAGGTGGAGAAAAAGAGAGTAAATGGGAGCTAGAAATAGAGAAAGAAAAAGAAAAGGGCGATAAAGAAAAAGTTAAAAAATAAATAAAGAAAGAAAGAAAGAGGGAGAAATAGATAAAAAGAGATAGAAAGATGGAGAAAGAGGGAGAAAATGAGAACTAGAAAGAGAGAGAGATAAATAGAAAAGGGCAGCATAATGTGAAAAAAGAGGGGGGAAAAAGAGAGATAAAAATATAGAGTAGGAGAGAGCTATAAGGGGGAGACGAGGAAAGCGAAGTGAAATAAAGAGAAAGTCAAAACGATAGGGAAAGAAAGAGAGACAGACAAAAGGAAAGAGAAAGGGAGGAGAGATAAAAACAGATGTAGAATGAGAAAGAAAAGAAACTTAACTAGAGACCTAGAGGAATGGAAGAAGTGAGATAAAGAGAAGGAAAAGAGATAGAAAAAAAAGATAGAAAGAGAGAGAAAGAGAGAGGAAATTAGAGCTAGAAAGAGAGAAAGAAAGAGAGAAGGAGATAAAGGGAAAATTAAAAAATAAAGAAAGAAAGAGATTAACAGCGAGACAGAAAAGCTGAGAGAGAGAGAGAGAGAGAGAGATACAAATAAGAAGTAGAGAAAAGAGAGATATTTGAAAATAGAGAGGGGGGAGAGAAAGCCAAAAACAGAGAAAGGGAAATAAAACGATAGATAATGAAAGACAGACAGATATTAAGAGAAAAAGAGATAAATAAGGAGAAAGAGACAAAATGGAGACAAGGAAAGAAATAGAAAGTGAGAGAGAGAGAGAGAGAGAGAGAGAGAGAGATAGCGAAAGACAAGTAAAAATAGAGATAGTAAGACAGATAAAGAGATAAGGTCGGTTAAAGAAGAAGGCATAAAGATAAATAAATATAAAGTAAGTGAGATAGATAGATAGATAGATAGATAGAGAGAGAGAGAGAGAGAGAAGCAAAGAGATAGAGGATGAACAAAAGCCAGAGATAGAGAGACGAAGAAAGTGATAGAGAGAAAGTGAGATAAATAGAGATTGAGAAAGAGAGACAAAGAAAGAAATGATAAGCAAGGAAATGAATAATGGAAGGGGAGAAAGAGCGAGAGTGACATTGAATAAAATGTTTTCTGAAGTCTGTTAATGACAGGTAACTGGTTGGTTGATTTGGGACTCGCATGAACTCTGACCAGCCCGTAACACCTTTACCTGTGTTGTTCAGTGCGTGGGCAACGAAGTGTTGATCATTGTTTTCGTGAAAAGGCGACGGAGTATGAAAATGTAACGGTGACTTGCAGATTTCGTTAATAACAAATAAACAGGGGGACAAAAAAAAGAAGAGGACGAAATCGTCTCCGCCATTTATAATCTGACGATCGGTCGTTGCAATAAAATAAGATAAAAGGCATCTACCTACGAAACTGCAAATTATAAAAGACCACAACTGCACACATAATCATATTCTACTTTTCTCCAAGCTCCACAGCTTCCTCATTTAGAAATAAATTTGTCTTTTGCCCATCCCTTTTTGTTTTTGTTCTGTCATCCATTCACTAAATATTAAGTAGGTTACTTGCTGTTTCACCCTGCTTTTCTTGATGTCATAATGTCCTGTGAGTATTACTGTAATTTCTCGAAAATAATACGCACCTATAAATCATACGCAACCCGACAAATGATCCAAAAATTAAGAAATATATCTATCCCTATGTATAATACGCATCTATAAATTTTATCAAAAAAAAAAAAAATAATAATTACGAAAACATTTTGTCGACCTTGACATTAAGAATAAAATCGAAACTAAGCGACTAAAATAATGCTGAAAATTACCAGGCGGTTTTCCCGATAAATATAACATTTTATTTTACCGCCAAAATGTCGTCAAAACTTGCGAGTTATAATGTAAATTTTAAACAAAAAGTAACATATGTAATTAGTAGAAAGAATAGGAAAGAGAGCTGCAGCTAGAGAATATGAATTGAATGAGGCTAACATACGTTTATAGAGAAAGAAGAAAAATGAGCTAAAAAGAAGTGTAAATCAAGTGCCAAAGCTATAGGCAGAGTAAGAAAAGTTCAATATCCAGATATGGAACAAAGTTTAGTTGAATTTGTGAAAGACGATCAAGTGGATGTTACATAAGTTCTTCAAGCTACTCGGCCCGGGGGCTATGATCAAAGTGTAGTACGCTGCCTTTGTGAGCTTTCGAGTTGGCGTCTGTCGAACTCTCTGCATTAGCAGAGAGGAAGAAGCTTTGCCGAAGGGCAAGGTTTCGTCCGGGGAGGTAGACAGGGCCTGAACCCGTCTAGGCGGATTCAAAGGGTATATTTTTGGCCGAGCCTACGGGCTCGGGGTTACCCACATTAAACCGGCCTTGTGCCACATTCTATCCTCGTGGGTGGATCGATAAACACTAAGTTCTTCGAAATTGGCATTTTTATAGATTTTTTTATTTATTTTTTCACCAAATAAAAAATGCGGTTACTGATAAACATAAAATTTATTGACAAAAAATGTTACAATTATTATTGTTCGATTTAAAATGAAAATTGGGATAATGTCTTTCTTATTTTAGAACAAGTACGTATTTATTATTATAAATCAATAACGAAAATATTTTTGTTTAAACCTATCTATAATACGCCCCCTACTATCACCTGTAATTTACAGTAAAAAAATGCGTATGGAGAAATTACGATAAATTCTCTATGCCCTTCTTCCTCATTATCTGATACAAAAATTTAAACTGTCTGCCTTTTGATTGAAAACATCAGTTTCCTTGTAGTTCCTATTCTCTTTAAAAATTCTTCGTTTCTCACATGTCCTGTCCTTGGTATTCTCGGCATTCTTCGGTGAAACCACATTTATCTTCTGTGGGGAGATTGTCCAGCATTTAATGTCATGTCAGATTTTAGAAATTACACAACACCTCAGCACTCTTTTCTTTGTTTCCAACGAAATTCATTCAGCTCTTACTTTGCTTCGTTTCGGGAACACATATTTTTCTATTCCTATGCGTCTTCCGATTTCCGTTGTCTCATTCTAATTGTATGCGTAAGTCTCCCTGTAGTTTATATTTTCCTTAAAACGTGCTCATTGCTCACATGTTCTGTCCATGGCATTCTTAACGTTTGAAGCTTAGTCTTTGCGGGAAAATTATCCCGCATTCACTGCTATCTTTGTTTCTAAGGTCTTTTGTTGGTAGAGCTACATCTGTGAGGAGATGATTGTCCAGCATTCAGTGTCATCGATAAGATTAGATATTACATAACAATTCAGCATTTTTCTTTGTTTCTAAGGTCTTTCCTCAGTAGAACTACATCTCTGTTGCTTCAAATCTCTTCTTAAACTATGAGGAAAGTGTCCTACATACATTGCTATAGGGGTGATTGGATATTGCATAGTTTTCTAAGGGCTTTTGACGGTAGAACTTCATCTTTGTTGCTTCAATTCTCTTCTTTATCCGCGAGGAGATTGTCCAGCATTCACTACTATCTAAAAAATAAAGATATTACATAGCATTCCAGCACTGTTTTCATGCTTCCAACAAAATTCACCTACTTTTTAATTGGCTTAGTTTGTGAAAGGCATATTTCGCAATTCCAATGCACCTTTGAGTTTCTGTTCAACATATTCGGTCGTTTCCATCCAGTTAGATAATTTTCTGTACCTACTTGATTTCTACGTTGCCTATACATAGCTCCCATCATGACGATAATACAGCATTCTGTCTTCTTACAGCTAACGGCTTTTTTTCTTGCCTTCTTTTACTGCTTGGTCTAATAGATTTTTAACTTTTTTTCTGGAGATTCTATCGACACAGTCCTGGGTATAGGTATAACGATAAACTACATCCGGTAGAAAGGCCTCTAGATTGGGAGTTTTGTGGAGCGTTCAACCAGCTCTTGACACGGGGTGGTCGCACCTTTTAGCGTCCCAGCTATGGGTAAATACTTAACCTCCCAAACAAAAACAAAGCCTATGAAAATACATTTTTATGGTAAAAATACTAGCAATACATTTTTATATAAAAATACCTGTTATCTGTAATTGAAGGCATGCAATGCAATTGCGTTCAAAATATATTTAATTGAAGCCATAAAATTGTGTTAAAATATTTAGATGTTGGCATTAAATAACCCATAGAAGTGTTAATATGCCGCTAAACAAAATCAACCAACCAAACAAACAACATGAATGAACTCTTTCCTGACATTAATCCATAATTATCCTACAATTTTTTCAATCAAACCATATTCCAAATTATAACTTCAACAAAACTACAACATAAAACAGACATCAACGCTTCGAAGACAAAACTGCTCTCTATTAATCACCACAGAGAGCCTTCCCTTCCCTCCATTAGAATGTCTGACGCTCAACTTCTCGAGAGCAACTCTCTGCGGCTTCTCGGTATCACGTTGACTGCTGACCTGAGATGGAATAAATACATCGAGTCAATTGCCTCGTCCACTACGAGGAAAGTTGGCTCCCTGAGCCGCGCTAGAGAGTTTTTCTCCCCTGAGTCGATCCTCCAGATATACAAATCCATAATTCGCCCTTGCATGGAGTATTGCTGCCATATATAGTCTGGCGCCCCTTTTGTTTGCCTCGGGGTTCTTGATAGGCTCCAGAGGCGGATATGCAATATGGTTGGCCCTGCCCTGGCGTCTCGTCTACAGTCACTTTCTCACAGACGCGCCGTCCCTCTGTCTGTTCTACAAATACTTTCATGGAAATTGCTCCGAGGAGCCGCATTCGCTGGTTCCCAGACTTCATGAGTTCAAGCGCCCTACGAGGCTGGCATCCCGCTCTCACCCCCTCACTGTCGAAACTCCTAAATGTAGCCGTCTCTTCTACTCTAATAGCTTCATGTCTCGCACCTCTCGCCTGTGGAACTCCTTCCTTCTCCTGTTTCCCTGCGAGCTATAATCTCCAGCTATTCAAGTGTAATGTCAATCGACAACTCCAGTTGCCTTGATCTATCCACTACCCTCATCCTTTCTTCTATCACTCCTATCTGATCTTGCTATTTCCTGTAACCCCTTGCATCCTAGTAGCTTCCCGCCTTGCTTGGGGTGAAACGCTTAAAAAAAATCAGTCTCTAGTAATTATATCCACACAAACATGTATATGCATAAAAGTTGAGTATCATCTACCATGTATTCAATTGTGAAAGCAGAATAACATATATCATATATTTATTACTTCAAAGCTTCCTAGAAAATTAAATTTTGGCATTAAATGGCCCATAAGACGTTTATATGCCGTTAAACAAACGAATCAAATGAAATCTATCTGTTTCTTGAGCATATATTATTATGTGCGCCGATATTTGACCCTGCTCGATGTCCGCCATCTTAACTATTATTTCGATTACATATGCAGTCATTAATAGCTATGGGCATCTTGCTGTTATAGTAACGGTTAAATTAACCCTTTAAACCTTTTAAGAGACATTCGGAATTTATTGATGGAACAGGTAGTGTTGGTTGAAATTTATAAAAATCTTTTTATTAAAGGTTTTTCAAAAAAATTAAACTTCTCAATTCCATTAACTGTTATAGCTCTTTCTTGTATCGATGGTAGTTTCCTTCCAAATATTTTGTTTTTGACACGGTATCTCGCTATATCTGTCTATATCTCTGAGATGAGGTATTATGATTACTTGCATTATTTACATTATTCGGACTATTATCCTCATCTTCATCGTCATATTCACAATGGTTCAAGGACACATGGCCAAGTGGATAAAGACGTTAGTTAGAGCCAGTGACTAGTCCAAGAGTTGTGAGTTCAATATCAGGCCACAGCAGTGGTGAACCAAAACTGGAGAGTTGATTTAAAGAGAAATAACTAAGACATCCGGAAGAGGATAGAACTAGAACAATCTACCCCGGCGGACGAAATATAGTGTTCGGTTCGAAATTCCAATTACCTGAAGAAGGTCGGAGCGTACAACGGTCGAAACGTTGTGAATATAGCAATGAAGATGAGGATAACAGTCCGAATAATGTATAAATGCAAGTAATCATAATATAAATCTCAGTGATCCAATCACCTGAAGAAGGCTGGAATGTACAACGGCCGAAATGTTGTGAATATGTTAATGAAGATGAGGATAACAGTCCGAATAATGTAAATAATGCAAGTAATCATAAAACCTCATCTCAGAGATCCAATCACCTGAAGAAGGCCGGAATGTACAACGGCCGAAACGTTGTGAATATGGCAATGAAGTATCTCGCTATATAGGTTTAAATCCGATGACAAAAAAAAAAAAAATATACCATTGTTTTACTACTCTTCATACGGGGTGCTCAGTAAAAAAAATTCTCGGCCTGAGTATGAAATTACAAATAAGTTGTGATGTTTAATCATTTAGTCAGATTTAGGGAAATACAGGGTGCCTTGTAAAAAGCGGTAAAATTCAGAAAGAAATTTATTTGGCGATTATGATTCGTGCACAGACAAAACAATCATCTAGATGTTCGAAATGTTTGCCTGAATGTACAACACAAAATTATAAGCGTGTTAACCAGGAGGCAGTAGCTTTGCAGATAGTTTCTAGAGGAATTTCATTTTTTTCTTCTAGTTACGTGCTACCTATTCTTGTTGTTGTTAACGTCAGAAGGGTTCAGTTGATGTGGGTTTTTTTTTTGTTTTTTTTGTTTTTTGTTGTTATTTGATAAAATTCTTTGCAACTCTGTAGCGCGTGTTTATACGGTTCGATGGAGATTTATAGGACATATTCGTTTGAAGCCATTTATAGGATATATTCGTTTGAAGCCATTTTAAATCATTTATTCGACGTGGAGTAATGCGTAGCAAGCTTTTTTTAAGCTAGATCAACTACGACCGAGCCAGTGAGTTCGATTCTCGTTGGGTGCTACGCTAAGAAAATCATATCGAGCACTATATGCGTGATGTAATGGTTAGCAAGCTTGTCTCGCTAGATCAGTTACGACCGAGTAATAAATTCAATCTACACTGGGTGCTCAAACACTTTCGGCCATATCTAAGCTACGCTTAGGAAATAAATTTAAATACTCCTGCGTAGTGTAATAGTTAGTAAGCTTATCTTGCTAGATCAATTACGAACGAGTAGTGAGTTCGATGCACCATACTTTCTGCCTTGTGCCATATCTAAACTACGCTTAGAAAATCATTTCGAACACTTCTGCGTGGAGTAATGGTTAGCAAGTTTGTCTCGCTAAATCAGTGACAACCTACTAGGGATTTCGTTCCTTGCTAGATGCCCCAAACTTTCGGCCTTGTGCCGTATCTAAGCTACGGTTAGAAAATCATTTCGGGCACTTCTGCGAAATATAATGCTTAGCAAACTTGTCTCGCTAGATCAATTACGATTGAGTTCGATTCTCAGTGGGTGCTCCAAGCTTTCGGCTATGTGCTACATGTAACCTATTTTAACTAAATCGTTATATAAGAAAACTGTTATATATAGATGATAGTTTAGACATTTCTGAGCGAAATAGACGCCATGCATGACAACCAGATCACAATTAAGACTTGAGGCTATATAAGTACATTGCATAATATCCTGTTGTTCAGGTTTTCTCATATTAAAAATCTAAACGCTCGAATTCCAAACAATAATAATAATAAAAAACATGGGCATGCCAATTGAATAAATCATTTGTATTTATAAAAAATATGTAGAATTCAAAAGAATCAAAAAGGAGTAAAAATAGTCTTTAGTTGAGTTAAAATCTTTGGGTAGTTGGTCCACAATAAAAATCTGTTGTTTAGAAAAGACTTTGATCGTCAGTGAAGATTCTCTGACCCCCCGAGTTGCTGTTGTTGGAATTAATTCATTTGAATTCGGCGACAAATGTTTTATTTAACACGCGGTTGGGTGGGGTAGAGGAAGAAGCAATGTAGTCACGTCTCTTCTGACTGAACAGCTTCGTGTCAATCGCATTTCTCCTCCTGAAAGTTGAAATGCAGGGTTTTCTTTATAAGAATTTTTTTCCAAAAGTAAGCACGAGAAAAATAGGGTTTTAGTTTTCTCTGATTGGTCAAATATTGCATATGGTGATTTTAATTTCTAACCAATAGACACTTTGATTTAAACGGTCTGTATTGCATGATAGAATCTATTTGGCATGTTTGTAAATATTGTCTGTTATTGGGTAGAAAATAAAGTTTGGGTGTCTTTTAATATGGTATATATGTGGGTATGTAACTGTGTTGAAAATAGGATTTATTTGCTATAACCCCACTTCAACAACATTCCTTTTAATAAATGGGGATACTTGATGTCCAAGAAGTTTCTCATAACATAATCAATGAGTTAAAATATAAACTACTGTATTCGAACATCCAAATTCCAAATAGTATTAATATCAAAATAAAGAAAACATGGGTATGCCTGTTAAATAAATCATTTGTACTTACAAACATATGTACATGAATTGGAAAAGAGTCAAAATGGAGTAAATATAGACTTTAGTTGAGTTAAAGTGTTTGGGTAGTTGGTCCACAGAAAATGATATGGTTTAGAAAAGACTTTGATCATCAGTGAAGATTCACTGACCATCCAAGCTGTTGTTCTTGGAGATGATTTGTTTGAAGTCACTGACACATTTTTTCAGCATGCACTGGGAGGAAGGAAAAAGCTATGTAGCTTGTTTTTGAATAGCTTGGAGCAGGTCGCATCCCTGCTTCTGAAAGTCAAAATCTGTGGGTTTTTACTAGAAGTTTTTCCTGAAAGTAGGCTAAAAATATAGGGTTTTAGTTTTCTTTGCTTGCTCAAATATTTCACAGGATTATGTTAATTTCTAACCAACAGACACGTTGATGTAAACAGTGTCTGTTGTACTGTGGAATCTTTTTAGCATATTGTCTGTTATTGGGTAGAAAATAAAGAAAGATTAAAATTGAAATAAAATGATTTATCAAAAACAAAATAAGGAAAGAACGAAGTATCAAAAATCAACACAAAGTGTGTTCCCACTGCCAACAAAGGCAAAACAAACACTTAATTAAACCGTTATTTATCTTTTCTCTCTCACTAACCTTTCTTGAATCTACAAGGCCTACGTCGACTTTGTAAAATTTGACAGTTGCAGTATCAAGGACCAATGAAATACCCCCAACTTTCTATACATATTCATCTATATATAGAATATTGCGTATGTCAATCTATCTATCTATCTATCTATCTATCTATCTATATATATATATATATATATATATATATATATATAGAGAGAGAGAGAGAGAGAGAGAGAGAGACAAGAGAAAATGAACAATTTTGTCCAGTCGCTCGCCTCCTCTTGGACCTGATATGGAATTAATTCCCTACAAAATGAAAAGGCAAGAAAATGACTGAATAATGAGGCTATGAATTGATAGGAATAAAAGATTTGTCAAATAATGCTGGAAACTTTTACATCAACCTAATACCTGAAAAGTGATGGAAGGTCATAGAAAAGCAGGGAAAATACCTTGATGACTGAATAATGAGGCTATGAATTGATAGGAATAACTGATTTTGTCAAAATAAGGCTGGAAACTTTTACATCGACCTAATACCTGAAAAGGTGTCATAGGTCATAGAGTAATTGAAGTGATTTCTTTTTTATGGTTTATCAACGTTGTTCACGTTATTTAAAACCAGAAAATATTATTAAATTGTAAGAATTTTTGGCAATAATAATGATTCACTGATGTATTGATTAAATTCCTACTATTTAACAGATAGCTGGAAGTAGAAATGGTTGGTTTATACCTCTGCCAAGGGTGTTTGTGCGTAAGTGAATATAACGAACCCAACGGGAATTGGAACACGTCTCTCCGATTTCCAATTCCGAGCCGTTATTAATTACACCACCCGCTCATCCAAGTTTACAGAACCTCGTACTGACCAGGCTCAACGTTAATTATCTTCAGCCATCGAACGAGTAAAAGGTCATAGAAAGGCAGGCAAAATACTTTGATAGCTGAATAATGAGGATATGAATTTATAGGAATAGACGAAATTTGCTGAAAAATTTAAATCAACCTCTCAACGGAAATGAACAGATAGAAAAATGCAAATATTTTTTACATATTACCTACGCTAAGTCTACTAATAGGATTACAGATTTCAGTTTCTACTGACGTGATTAGTGTTTAATAGAATAGTTTCATATACCGTTACTATTGATGGGATTTCAATTTCTACAAAGTTCTTCATTCTGCTAGCCCTGTGTCATACTAAGCTAAACATATTAATAAATGCACACGTGTTTATTCTTTTGTTCTTTTCCCAGTCGACCACCATGGCTAGCCAGCGAGGTGATATTTTGTCTAACAGTAAGACACAAGTCAGGGAGAAGTGGATCCATGCCTTCTCTTTCATGATTCGCTGGTTGTGTTTTTCCTGACAATAACAGCAACGCCTGTTACTTTTTTCTTCTTCCACATTCAAAGAATATTGAGAAATATTTGATTATTATGAACCAAAGTTTGGCATTGGATTTAAATACAAAGATTTTATTACATACAGTCTGAGATTCCAATCGTCTTTTTAAAATATTCAGCCTTTTTTTTAAATTTTTTACGGTTTATCAACCTGTTTAAGGTTATTTAAAGTCGAAACATATTTTTGGTTGCAAGAAACTTTTAGAAATAATAAAGATTTTCTGATACAAGTTTTACTATTTAATCCATAGCTAGAAGAAAAAAGAGGTGGATTCATGCCTTTCCTAAATATATTTGTACGTAAATGAATATAACGTACCCGAATGGTTCTTTGATTTCTCATTCTGAGTTTTTATCCATTACACCAACCGCATATCCATCCTTACAGCACTATGCATTCCCGAGAGGTCACCCATCTAGGTACTGACCATGTTCGACGTTGCTTAACTTCAATGATTGGCCGAGAACAGGTGTTTCAACCTGATATGGCCGTCAGCCTGTAAATTGGAAAAGGGTGGCCCGCAACAAATCCTAGTCATATGGACAAGAAAAGTGCTTATTAGTTTAAATGAAAATTGGTTGTTAGGTTTGTTTTGTTTTACGGCATATCAGCCTCAATAGCTTATTGATACCGAAAAGATTTTTATTGTTGGTAATAACTTTTTTTTTCTAAAACTGTATTACTAGTAATAAAACCTATTTTTACACTTTCGTGGTGTTTTGACCCCAGTTTAGCGAGGTGGGTAACTATTTTTCCATAGCTGGGACCCTAACAGATGCTACCAACCCAGGTCATGTTGGACCTGGGAACCTCAGCAGTTAAGAGGTAGTTTCTCAAAACATCGTTATCCGAGGCCTTACTGCCGGGTGTAGTTTATCGTCATGCTCAGGACGCACAACAATTTGAATCTTAAAATAAACAGAATATAACCTTTGTAAGAGAAGTCGTCGAAAAGTTCCAAGAAAGATATTTTCAATTGACGAAATTATTACACACAAAAGGAAAAGTGATAAAGTTTTTTTTTTAATTTGTTTGATAAAGCTGACCATTTTGTTTAATAATTTTGTTTCTTGAGCATCAGTAAAGATGTTTTCCAATTCTTTTCCAAGAGATTTCGAAATCAGCATCTCTGTAAAGAAAGGAATACACTTCGTCAATATTGGCATTCTCTTGTTTCTGCAGAAAGAACTCTTAAAAATTTCAACCATTAACAGGGCCCAATCAGTACAAATGCTTACACATTTATTCCACGAGAGACGTTTTCTTTTCAGATATGAAGACAAAGTACCAAATCTGTTAATTACTTTATTTGTCTCAGACAATTCTTTATAAAAAAAAAATTCGTTTACTTGAAACTTCCTCATTGGCAAATCTTGCAAAAGTTGCAACGTGATATCTTTTGACTGATCAACCCGGATACAAAAAAAAAAAGAAAAGACTTCCTGTTTTTCAGGTTATCACACCAAAACCCTTTCAATGTCATGTGACGTACCATCGATATGTCGACATATTGTCTGAAAAATGAGACCGTACTGTAAGTTTTTATGCATTATAATTAATTTTACACACTGGTTTTCAGTAACACTCTGACTTTTCCTTTTTTTTTTTGTGCAATAATGTCGGTAACCAAATAACTTCCTTCTTGGCTTCATTTCAAAGAAATCGCTTGCAAAAATGGTACTCTTATTTCCTGAGTATGACGATAAACTACATCTATCAATAAGATCTCTGATCGCGAGATAGGGGGTTTCCGGATTTTACTTAATTGCTGTTGTTTCCAGTTCCTCCCTGGCCCGGGGTGGTAGCACCTGTTAGGGTTCCAGCTTTGGGCAAATAGTGAACCCCCAAACAAAAACCAACAGTACATTTTTACAGTAAAATTACCAGCAATACATTTTTATACCTAACACGACAATCAGTACAACACTAAAAAAAAGCATAAGAATATATTTTTGTAATTAAATTACTAGCAATACATATTTTTTAAAAATTACAAAAAATAAATTTTAACATCTAAAAATTATATATCTATAATACATATAACATATAAAACATATAAAACATATAACACCTACAATAGATCATCTACATACTATATATCTATAAAATATATGTTTACCCTGAAAGTGTAAAGCTATGTACAAAATATCTGTAGTTGAAAGTATAAAAATCCGTACAAAATATTTAGATTCTGGCATTAAATAACCCATAAAGGTGTTGATATACCGCGAAACCAAAACAAAACAACCAAACTATTTTGAAAATCCAATCGTTTTTTGGCCTTATGTCTATATCACGTTGAAACACAGGTTGCCGTACGATCACCAAAGTTAAGCTAAATTGAACCTGGACATTACCTTGATGGGTGATCGCTTTGGAATGACAAGTGCTGTAAGTTTGGATGTGTAGGTGGTGTAATGAATAACGGCTCGGAATTGGAAGTCGGAGAACCGAGTTCCAATTACAGTCAGGTTCGCTATATTCACTAACGCGCAAATAACCCTGGGAAAGATATGAATCCACCTCTTCTCCCTCCTCCAGCTATGGATTAATTAGTAGGACTTGTATTAGTAAATCATTAGTATCACCAAAAATTCTTACAATCTTGAAATATTTCTTGGCTTTGAATAACCTGAAAAAAGTTAATAAGCGTTAAAACAGATCAACCAAAAATCCAGTCATCTTTTAAATAAATCAGTACGTTTATTTTTCATATGGCTAGGATGTGTTTTCAATGTTGCTGGAGTCATTGCTGCACTTGAAAGTTGTTTGCTACAGACAAGGCACAATTGAATAAGAACTGTTAGGATAACTTTCCTTCCTCATCCTCGCTTGGCTGGTCGAGTGGCACTGTCTTCTAGATTCAGACAAAAAGGTGCCCTCAAAGCCACCGAGTACAGAATCGGGCATCGGAGGATGTCAGTGGGCGTGCCATCATAAATAAAGTGGAGAAGTCAGCTGAACTAGAGGATATACAAACGCAAGACCACCGGATGGGAGGAAGGAAGTTACATAATCGCCTGACCTCCGAGGGAAGAAGGAGAGTGCCACACATTCCTGCACAAAGAAGATCGAAACCGCGAAACAAGCCCCGAAACCACATACGCTCGATTCTGCCGACGTTAGCCCAAAAGCGAATAAACAATTATTATGAAAAATTTAGTCTTATCTTCTTATCAGACGTTACATTATAACATTATTTACATCCAGACTATTGTCCTCATCAAAGTTGTTATTATCACCTGATCGTCTTCTGTCTGAATTTCTGGGATGTGGAGTTACCATTATTTACATTCAGACTGATGTCCTCATCTTTGTTGTTATTATCACCTGATCGTCTTCTGTCTGAATTTCTGGGATGAAGTGTTATCATTATTTACATTCCGACTAATGTCCTCATCTTTGTTGTTATTATATATATATATATATATATATATATATATATATATATATGTATATATATTGGAGGAAAATATCAAAATTTATATATCGATATCCACACACACACACACACACACACACACACACACACACACACACACACACATATATATATATATATATATATATATATATATATATATATATATTTGTCTTTAATTTTGTCTTTATTCATATTGTCCTTTTACGGATATACTCTCTCTCTGAAATTTTTCCTTACACAGCTGCACACACACTCACATACACAAACACACAATATATATATATATATATATATATATATGTGTGTGTGTGTGTGTGTGTGTGTGTAGCTAAAAAAAACAAAGTATTCGTAAAATTGACAGTAAGTCTGCGAGGTATAAAAAGAAAAAATTAATAAAAATAAAAACTATAAAAAAAAACAAGAAACAAGACATCCAATTGATTGATTGTTTTTTACGGCATATCAACCCTTTGTAGGTTATTTAAAAGGAGAAAATATTTTTAGATTTTAAAAATATTTTCTTGAGATAATATTAATTTAGTGATACAAGTTTTACTAATTAACCCATAGCTGGGGGTGGAGAAAAGTTGGATTCATACCTTTCGCAAGGATATTTGTGTGTAAGTAAATATAACGAACCCAACTGGAATTGGTACTCGGTTTTGTGATTAACAAAATGCGAGCCATTCTCACCATTACAATATTACCACTTGCACATCCAAGCTTACAGCACTGAGTATTTCCAAGCGCCCTCACGCATCGAGGTAGTGACCAGTCTCGACGTGAACAGGCGAAAAAAATATAATATAAATAATAAATAGAATAAAAAGTGGAAAATAAATCAGAGCACTGTTTATTACTGTTATAAGTGTCTGTTTTGGCCTTTTATTCTTAGTTTAAGACCAAAAAACAGACACTGACCTAAACAGGAACAAACGGTGGTGTTTGTTTGAGTTGCCAGGGGAGACCAATGAACACAGAAACATATATATATCTTATATTATTAAATAGCTATGGGCAAATAGTTAACCTCCAAAGAGGCCAAAATACTATAAAAGTATAAAAATAGGTGGTTGGAATGTCGAACTGAACCCTTTATTTCGCTCGCTGGACACGTGGCACAGTGGATAAAGGCGTTAGTTAGATCCAGTGACAGGACCCAAAGAGTGTGAGTTCAATACCCGGCTAAGGCAGTGGAGAACTTTCAGAAGGAAATTAACAGGAGATAACTGATAACTGACATACATTAAACAATGCACGTGGAACTAGAACAATCTACTCCAGTGAGCGAAATAAAAAGTTCAGTTCGACATTCCAACCACCTGAAGAAGGCCGGAGCGTACAACGGCCGAAGCGTTGTAATAAATATGGCGACAAAGATGAGGACAATAGTCCGAATAATGTAAATAGTGTACATAATACCTCATCTCAGAAATTGTTATGCCATATTACCTATTCTATTGTAATGGACTCTCCCACAGATAATAAGTAATAAGTAGTAGTAGCAGTCGCCAGTTCGACTCAGTGGTGTTGAGCAAGTCAGACGATATCGGACATTGAAGTACCAACCATCACAACTAGATTGCTGCGTCATTAACTCGTATTTTCCAGGTTCCTAACGTTTTGTACGTCGAACCTAATTTAGGACGACTTATTGAAATACAAGCCTCCACTGTGAAAACTACTCCACAACATTTTGGCTACGAAGGATTCGTTTCTCAGACGGAGAAAGAAAAGAAAAACTTTTCGTACGCCTAACTACAACAGAAATATAGACAGATACAGACATTTAAATATGGTCACGTCGACCTTCGAAATTTCATTTCATGCATAAAAATGGGAAAGAATGTGAAGTGACTTTAAACAGGAACTGCTCTTTCATACCAGTCTGGGTATTTCTAAAACTGCTGATCCGCTAGAATTTTCACGCAAAACGACTTTTAGAAAGTTCTACAAGGATTGGAAAAAGAAGAAAAAAATTCAGTGAGTGGCAATTCTGCATCCAGAAGCCCCTTGTGAGTAAATGATGACAGAGGGGAATGGTCAGATTCGATGAAGCAGGTAGAAAGG